ACTTGGTGTACTGTTGGGCGTCTCAGGCTCCTCCGGCCAAACTGGGATGGCGAGCTTGGCGCCGGTAAAAGGATGGAGATGTGGCGAGTGGATGAGCTGCGGCACGAATGGGCCAATAAGACGACGCCATGTTATCATTATCTGCGCGCGGAGTCCGCGCACCAGACGTTTGTTGTTATGACGCAAGACCCACAAATTATAAGCAGGATCCAATCAGCAGAAGACCCAATCCACGACCTCGCGGTCACGAAATTATACGACCATATCCACCTCAATTTTGTGATGACATTATTCCACATAAAGCTCGAACAATACACGAAACCGTTAGCCAACCCGATCCATTTATTCTTCCTGAAAGAGTGCAAAACTGACTCAATCAGAACCGGTTCGGTTCAGTTTGATCTTGATGCGACCCGTTCGCCTAACCCAACTCGGTTCAATTTGGTCTCCCGATATGTGGCAAAACGGAGTAGATTGTATGATCATTAAACAATTTGGTTTTAGATTGTATTGATCGCTATAGTAAAACCATGCACATATCGTCTTGCCTTTGCTGTGTTCCATGGGAACATTTTCACTGTCCTTTAAATAAATAATAGTATGTTTGGCGGCACAAATCAATGTTTATGATAAGATTGTTAGTATATTTTAAAATATAAATATATCCAATGAGATCTTAATTTATTAGTATTTGTTAAGAGGATCCAATACACCACCATCATCAGTGTTTTATGTATCTATCGAATATATTAAATAAAATTTTAAACTCTCAGTATTTAGTAAGTTACATAATTACCACATCAATAGTTTATATATAAAAATATATTGAATAATGTTTCCAACATCAACCATTAATCTTTAGTAAATGGGTTAGATACATCATGATTAGAGCAATATTTTAAAAGTAAAATGTATAAGATGAGATTTCAAATACTTAATCTTTGCTAAATACGTATAATATAATATCATCATACTAATATTTTACATACAAATAAAAATCTTTAAACTTTGATAAATAGGTCTGATGCATCACCATCATACCAATATTTAAAATATAGGATGTCAATCTTATGGATACTATTATTTAGAGAAAAATCTAAAATAGGCACTAATTAGAGTATTAGCATGTTAAATAGATAGATCCTTGAGTAAAACATCCATCTCCTCCTTAACATGCTTATATAGAACAGAAGATTCATTTATAATTTCACAAATAGAAGGATCACAAACCTTATGACACAAGGCCAAAGGGGTATATATATATATATATATATATATATATATATATATATATGAGGTCATATGAACTACCAGTGAAGAACCTAGTTTAATGGATCAACTGAAAAGAGAACTTAAGCCTGTCATATGGTGCTATGATCACTAGCAGGATAAACTTGTAGAGGCATGCAATGTAGGAATTGTATGACACACAAGAAAGAAGGAATTGCCAGTTGTGTTAGAAGAAATGAGAGAGCATATTTGTGTTGTTTGAGACAAAAATAAATTGATGAATTACCTGCACCATGCATGAAGCCAGAAATCCTGAATGTAAAACACCATGGCACTAACTTTTTAATAGATGAATCTTTGAGGCTTGGATCAACAGAATATATGAAAGCATTAAGCATAAGATTGTGACAAAAGAAGAGGAGCAGAGTGTCTATTGCCATCACTGTTGCCCAAGATGAGAACAAGGAAATTATGATTCTTGATCAAATAGAAGATGACACCAATCAGGCAAAGATGTATCAAATTGTCAAGTATTTATAGTACACTACATACTCTTTAAGATAAAAAAGGGGAGGACAAAGCACATACACATATTGTGATATTAGATCATATTTGAGAACCTAAAATGATGTTCTTTCCCTACTACAGTCATTGCCTTGCCAGTCTAAAAGAGGATAAGTTGATGCCTTTGATTGCTTATACAGCCTTGTTATGAACATAAACTGAATCTACTCCACTGCCCTTTCCTCTACTCTGTATCTCAACTTTTACATAGATTGGCAATGGATATATGCAACATGATATTCTGACTTTTGACTTGGTTTGCATGACACAAAATTTCTCAATTATAATTGTAGTGACAGTCTTCTTATGAAATGGGATTCATGTTATTCACTGAAGATAATAATCTGTAGTACTAAAGCATAGTGAACCTTTACAGTGATACGAGGTATAGCCATCAATTCATTTCTGTAGACATGGATCAGATATTTTCATGACAACCATGAATCCTTATCTAGCATCTAGCATTTTCAAAGGCAATATGTTCCAATTTCTTAAGAATTTTAAATCAATCAAGTATGCAAAACAACATTAATGGGAGGGCAGCAGAAGACTCAAAGGAACTCTTCTACACAAGATTATACACAAATTCTAAATCATGTAGACTATCCATCCTGAGTGGTCTCTTAGCTGCCATCATCAGTTTATATGTGTTATGGGAGATGACAAGGATAGATGCTGGAGTGTTAGTGTAATAATATGAAATATAACCTTTGATTAAAGTATAAACAGGTTAAATGTTGAAATCAAACTAGGGATTTTGTGAAAAAGAAACTGGAGATTTGGGGAAGATGATCTAGCACCACCAAAGAAAGAAGAATTGGAAAAGAAATTATGGGAAGAATAAATATCATTGGAAAGCCAACGGAATGAGAAAGCCGAAAACAATAGCGAGTTAGTTCTTTTTGGAAAAAAAACAGCAGGCAGCGGAAGGGACTATTTATAACCTTTTTCCACCAATTCAAGACTCCAAAGTCATAGTGAGCATGCAACATGGCACGTTGCAGGTGCCCTGTATGCTGCGTGTGACAGGCAAACAACAACGTGGGCACTCGCACGCATTGCATGAGACAGACACTCTATGTTGTTGCGACTCTTAGTCACACGCTGGACGCATGAGTCGCAACGAATGGTGCTCCTGTGAAAAGGTAAGGGTAAAGAGGTAAGTCAGGAAAATGTTTAGTGTCTCCCTCTAAAAGCTCTAACAGGAAGCAGACCATTACCATTAAAAAATCATTTACAAACATCTATATACATAATATGTATATATGTGCATGTGTGTGTACATGTGGATGATGTATAAGCTAAACCAGATTATGGTGATATATATGTGCATGTGGATCATGTATAAGCTAAAACTGATCATGGTGATACACAACTCCAGAGATTCATAGATGTATCACAAAGACAATGCTAACTAGTGGTGCAAACTGCAAAGAGGTAGAGGCTGATGAAACTAAAACTTCTTTAGAAATAATTAAAAGATATATCACAGCTGTGAGTTCTATTAGTGATATTGCCACCAACAAAGCTCAATGACAAGCAAAGACATGCAGCTTCAGTTTGATGTTAATTATTTATATATGTTTCCATATGCATGTGTATTTGTATAATATTTGTATATATCTGTGTGTATGTGCACCTGTGCACACAAAGCAATAGGTTAAGGCTTATGTTAATTTGATTCATCAATTACTTAATAGTAACTGACATTTGTACACATGTGGCCAAAAATTAAGAAATATAATAGAATAAGTCATGGAACGATACAAATAAAAGCATGAACAATATTGTACCAATGGACACATTTCATGCATCAATTATATTGATAGCTTCCCGATAATTACTTAATAGTAACTGACATTTGGACACATGTGGCCAAAAATATGTAGTCAACGGAATATATCTCCATCCTACCTGAGAGAGAAGGAATGCATCAAAATGAAAGAGCACAAATTTCATTAAAGTAATTTTGGTAATACTAGAAGCACTAGATCTCAATTTGCCTAAATCAGGATGTACTAGATGGTATTTAATGGTCCCCATTTCAATCGGCATGCAAACCAAGGCTTTTCGCTCTGCTTCAGTCCAATAAGCATGTTAACCCTCTGCTTCACTTTTCAAGTTCTCACAGTTATTGCTATCTTTCTAATATCCTCTCTCTCTTTCTCCATTGCCCACTCTTCCTTATCTCGATCCGTCTCTCATTGCCCGCTAATTCGTCATTGTTGTTACCTACTGCTAATGCTGCCCATCACTCACCATTGCCTACCTGTCTGGTACTTCATCTCATCCTCCTCCTCCTCCAGTGATTCTTCTTCCTCCTCCCTTCCTATTCTCCTCATTCAGTGCTGACTAGTATGCCGGTGTATTATGTGTCGGTATGTCGGTATATACCAGACTCATACTGATCCAGCAAGGGTTTGTTATTGAGAATTAAAACCACTCTATGCTATAAAGAATTTGAGACTTCGACAATTTGTGGTGGCATTCCTATACTAGTGTAATAAGGACCACTCTATGCCAACCATCATCATTGACTCTATCAACTTGTAATGCAAAATTAGTCTTCTTCATATGATTAAAAAAATATCTGAATGCAGATTATTACTGCAAGATAATTATAGAATAACTAATATTAGATGATTTAAAAATATTCTATAGCACAAGCATCCATAAGGCTAGTATGAAATCAAGCATTAAATATACATGTGTGATTCAGGATCTCAAAGAGAGATTATCCTATTATCTTGAGCCAAAAGCAGAAAAAAAAATGATTGTTAAACGAAAATATAATCAATCATCAGATGCAATGCTTATCAAATGATAGCACACAACAGAACAATAGATGAATAACTAGAGATACCAACCAACAAAATCTCCTTGGCACACACAGAAGAGAGCATCTGTTTAACTTAAGATCTCTCTGAAGCTAATCATCTAATAGGCTAGTTAGTCATCGAATAGATATTTCTGAATCTGAAAGACTCTCTGGGTTGCTTGTTTGCCTAGTGGTACCGAGTCTAATGTGCTATGATGTGTTGTGCACATATAAGTGGTACATAACAGCAAGCAACCAGAGTTCTCTTGGTCTAATCATGCTTCTAAGTTTTCTTTTCCTTTTCCCCGACAATTTACACAAACACCAATAGCCTACTAATGCACAACAAATGAACAGAATCCAAAAGTAGTAGCTCAAGCTACGCCATGGAGATTTAAGAGCAAATTGATTAAAGTAGAAGATGAACGAGCATTCCTCACAAAGAATGATGTCACAGAGAGAGTACCACGAGACCTTACTCTTTGAGTAAAGTTATTCCTTCATCGTTCAGCATCAGCAGGAACATGAGCATATGAAACGATCCGAACCTGTCTCATGGGGTCACCAATCCTTTGGGCGCTCCCCAAAATCTCCATGTGGATGATGCCCCTCGAATCCATGAAAAGCCCCGCCCACCTGGTTGTTGTTGACCGGAACCATCGGATTTCCATGGGCATGTGGATGAGCCATGCCGAAGACCGGCATCGGAATCATGGTGGGCATGGCGTAGGGCACGGACATCGGCAACTGCTGCTCGCGGAGGCTCTGCGGCACCGGGGTCGAGGTAAAGAGATGGTCGGACGACGACGGCCCCTCGTTCGACAGCCCCTGCATCCTCTTCAGGTAAAGCCTGTACTTTTGGAGATGGCTGGCCACGTTCTCCCTCGTCAGCCCCTCCACGTTCATCAGCTGCATGATGGTCTTCGGCACGGCGTTCTTGATGCCGAGGTGCGCCACCACGTCGACGAACCGCTTGTGGAGCTGCGGCGTCCAGACGAGGCGCGGCCGCTTAAGGGTCCGGACGGATTGATCGTCGTTGGAGTTCTCCAGCGGGGGGGCGAAGGACTCGGCCTCCTCGGCGGGGGATGGGGAAGCGGAGTCCATCCGCGGGGCCTTACGCGAGTGCTCGTCGCCCTCGACGGCCACGGGGTGGTCTTCGTCGTCGTCGTCGTCGTCGTCGTCGTCGTCGGCTGCGGGCGAGGGGAAGGGGTGGAAGTATCGGAGAGCAGCGGCGGCGGCGGGGGAGGGTGCAGCGCGGCGGAGGTTGGAGACGGTGTGCTGGGAGGCACGGTGGACGTCGAGAAGGGTACGGGCGGGCTCGGGGTTGATCCGGAAGGCCGAGGCGAGCTCCGGCGGGATCAGAGTCTGCGACAGTGAGACGAGGTGGTGTCCGCCGGGGAGGCCAAGCTCCCACTCGACGACCCTACCCTCGTCGCCGCCTCCGCGTCCGGAGGCGGAGATCCGGTCGCAGTAGGCGTCTCCAGCCTCTTCGCCCATCGCAATGATCCCAATCCCCACCCTCTAAAGACGAACACGGAGAGCTTCTCACAGGAGGAAGGCCCCCTTGGGACGAAATCGATGGGGAATCAAGAATTTGGGCGGAAGGAGGTGAGGGGGAGATGGAGGCGACGGAGTACTGTGGTGGATATTTTGGGGTTGGGGGCAGATTTTTTTTGTGTGTGTGTGTGTTAGAAAAGTGCAAGTCGGATGGCAGATTGATATTTGTCGGGACTGACACGTGGACCGATTCCTTGATATTTTGGGATGCCCTTTTTAAGCCCTTTTCTTGTGTTCCTTTTCTCGCGTGTATGTTTCTATAATGGTTAGACTCCACAATGCAATCCCTCTCCGATATCGCGTATTATTTCGTTTTGGCCGACTCTCGAGGCTGTTGAGATGGGGGCGATGCGTATTCGAACTGCTCGGCGGTTTCATCTGTTACGGTAAAACACATTGACGGTTTTATGATGTCATGGGTTGGTTGTTGTGGCTTTGATAACTAATTGAAATCCGATATAACTCGAACAACCAATTAAGGCTACTGGACATATATCGTTGAAATGATCACATAAATAAATTAATGGAAGTGATGATATGATACAACATAAGCATCATGTCCAATCAATCAAACAATAACATGATACCACTTGGGTATATCTAATTAGTGCTATATCTAAGAGAATATTTTCCATTAGTATCCAACTTAGTACATTAAAAAAGGAGGACCTTAGTTCTTTATTGATTTAGGCATCAAAGCCATAACACAACATGCTTTAAGAGAATGTCATTAATAACCAGATGAGATATATAAGAGTGAGCAACTCACACATTCTTTTATGTTATTCGTTCATGAATGAATAGTTAAAATATAACTTCGTTAAGTGTTGAAAGATTTATAAAAGAGCAAACTAATCAGTTCAAAAAATGAGCGACAAACAAGTCTCAATATCTCTCAAAGAAAATAGCTTTACATATAATTCAACAAACACGTAAGAAGAAAAAAAAAAAAACTTTAGAATATAAATGAATAATGTAAGTTCATAAATAATTACTCGTTAGGTGTTGGGTGTATTAGCAAGTCTTCATAATTAATCTTTCTTCATTAATACTAATAGGAGATTATTCCATCAATTACGTGCTTATATATAGCAATATTTTGTCTAATGTCCAGTGTTGGCATTTTTATGATAGTGCTCCTAAGTTGACACCTTTGTGTCAACTTTTGTTCATCTTCGAATCACGCTATCAATTAGGTCATGAAATGTCATGACACCTTAGTAAAGTCGAGCTCGTGCCTCTCTGACTCATGCTCTCGTCATCAAGTCTATGGTGCAATCCAGCCAAGCTACCACTTCACGTATCCCTTTCTTATCGCAAGCCGGCTCTATGATTACTCACCTCATAATTCTCTTAACATTACCCTAAACATATCTGTTGGGTCCAGCACATAGGTGGGTTTGGACCGATTGATTTGGGGAATGAGCCCAAATCTAATTTATTAAAAAAATATATATAAAGTGGAGATGTACGTGGGAGAGATGCGTGTGAACAATGGAAACTACGATGGCTCAAAAATAGAACATAGAGATAAGAGGAGAAAAAAAGTTTACGATTGAGAGGCTTTTGCTAAATGATTAAATAGATAAATTTATTGATTTTGACTCAAATTTTATGTGAAATTTTTTTAGAATAAGCTCTATAATCTTAATAGTATCGATCTATAGTTTATCCTCTCTGAAATTATTTTCTGTTATATTTATTTGATGAGATCTAAAAAATTTTTTTCATAAAATATATCTATGATAATGATGTTATATTATTATTGAGCCAAGATATATGTTCTTAATATTATTATGATTCTTTAATTATTCTAGAGAATATTTATTATAAACCTATTATCATTATTGATGACAGTGAAAGTTTGAAGTGAACTACGGTCTCGTAGTTTTTATCGCATTCGATTTTTCACGTAAAGATTCGATGTCTCACTTTATGATTGATTCATTGTTATACTATTTATGCTACTTTGATTAATATTTATTTTTGGTAATAAGTTGGTATTTTGATGAGAAACCCATTTTGATATAGGGAAAATAATTATTCTGTTATAATAATTTTTCCAGTATTAGAGCTTTAGATTGTTTGGTACTAGTTTTTTTTTGTATGATTGAAATTGAGTCAAACGGTATGATTAAATTAAACTCATCAAATTATTTCACTTGGAGGCATATGATGGAATATTTGCTTTATTGCAAAGATTTGTATAAGTCTATCAAAGTTAAAGAAAAACTATTGCCTATATTAGAAGATAGATTGATATAAATTTGCATAAGTATTTTTCTGATGAAACCAAAGCTGATATTATTTAGCAAAGGTTAAAAAATCTCTTTATGAAAAAAAATAGTAGGAAATAGAATTTCTTTCCTCAAAAAAGCTTGTCAATTTGAAGTATAAAGATGATGGTAACATTATTGAACACATAAGCCTGTTTCAGAGTCTTACAAATAAGTTGGTTGCTATGAAAATGAATATAAATGATGAGATACAAGGATTGTTACATTTCAGCTCTTTATCGAAAAGTTAGAAAATATATGTGGTGACAATTTGTAACTCCATGCTAAAGGAGGCTCTAACCATAAACATGGTTAAAGATGGTTTCTTAAATGAAGATGCTAGAAGGAAAGAATAAGAAGAATCTTCTTTTGGTATACTTGTTATTGAGAAAACAAGAAAGATACGAAAGAAGTCTAAGTCATATGAAGAAAGAGAATAGGTTTTAGAAGCGAGAACAGAATGAAAGGAAGAAAAATGAGAAAGAGACCAAGACAATTACTACTTAAGGTGATATCGTTATTGTTTGTGATGACAGATATGTTAGTCTTGCAACTCAAGATAGTAAATGAATAATTAACTCTGGTGCTTCATTTCATATTACTTCTCATTTCTTCATATCTTATACTATTGGTATTTTGGCAATGTTAGACTGGGAAATAATGGTACATCTAAGATTGTAAGTATTGAAAATATTTGCTTGGAGACCATCACTATGAGTAAATTGATACTAAAAAATGTTAGACATGTTTTGAATATGTCTTAACCTGATATCTATAAGTAGACTTGATGATGAGGGATTTACATATTATTTTGGTAAAATCAAATAGAAATTCACTAAAGGTTCTTTAATTATGGCGAGAGGAAAGAAGCTAAACTCTTTCTATATCATGGAAGCTAAGTTACATAAAGGAGAGATTAATGTAATTTAAAAGGATGAAAACATGGATCATTGGCATAAGAGACTCGGTCATATCAATGAAAAGAGACTTAAAACCTCTTACTACAAATCAGTTCTTGTTAGAGTTATAAGGTACATCTCTTAAATCTTGTAATTATTACTTAGTTGAAAAAACACATAGAGTTGTCTTTCATACATATCCGTCATCTAAAAGATTAAATGTTATTGATTTGATTTACACTGATGTTTGTACTATACAAACTAGAACTCTTGGAGGTGTTCTTTATTTTTTTACTTTCATTGATAACCATTCAAGAAAAATTTAGGCTTTTGCTTTGAAATGTAAAGATCAAGTACTAAAGTATGTTCGAGTAGATAATAGTGGTGAGTACAGGGGTCCTTTTAAGAATTATTATAGATTCCATGGTATTAGGCTTGAGAAAATAGTTCATAAAACTCCTTAGCAAAATGGTGTGGTAGAAAGAATGAACAAAACCATTAAAGAAATGATTAGGTCTATGCTTTCTCATGCTAAATTACCTAAGTCATTTTGGGTACAAAGCATTTGTTTATATTCTCAAATATGAGAGGTCCAAGCTTGATAATAAGGCAAAAGCATGTATTTTCTTGGGGTATGATCATAAAGAGTTTGTGTACAAATTATGAGATCCAATAAACAAGAAGATTATTAGAAGTAAATATTATATTTTATGAAGACCAATTGTTTGATGATGGTGACAATATTGATAAGCTAAAAACCTCTATTTATATTCCTTAGAGTTTGGGTCTAGTTTCTCCACTTATAGTTCATGATGATCATAAGGGAGGTGAACAAGAAGATTGTGGTGAGAATGTCAATGATGAAGCTCCTACAGTTGATAATGTTGAACCAAGTGAACAATTTGAATAAGCACCTCTACCACTAGTTGAGATTCTATTGAGAAAATTCACAAGAGAGCGATAACCATCTATGAGATATCATCTACATGAGTATGTTATGCTTACTGATGAGAGAGATCTATAAACTTTCCAAGAAGTTATTTTACATGAGCATAAGAATGAGTGGGTTAAAGCTATGCAAGAAGATATAAGATTCTTACTTAAGAACCACACATATGATTTAGTAAAGTTGCCTAAAGGAAAGAAAGCTCTCAAGAATAAATGAGTTTATAAATTGAAGACCAAAAATAATAACTCACAACGACAATGCATGACTAGTTGTGAAAGGATTCAGTAAGAAGAAATGTATTGACTTTGAAGAAATATTTTCTTCTATGGTGAAAATGTCCTCTATCCGAGTTGTTCTTGGTTTGGCTATTCGCTTGAACTTAAAAGTTGAGCAACTTGATGTGAACACTATATTTCTTTATGATGACTTAGAAGAAGAAATTTACATGGAGCAACCAGAAGGTTTTAAAGTCAAAGGAAAAGAAAATCTAGTGTGCAAGCTTAGGAAAAGCTTATATGGACTCAAAAGAGCACCCAAATAGTGGTATAAGAAGTTTGATTCCTTTATAATGAACCAAGAATATAATAGAACCATATATGATCATTGTGTATTTACAAGAAAATTTTTAGATGATGATTTCATTATTTTCTTACTATATATTGATGATATGCTAATTATTAACTATGATGCTGGTAAAATTGAGAAGCTTAAAAGAGTTATGTAAGTCTTTTAAGATTAGGTTATCTCAGGACACTTATATTGAAAAGATTCTTGAAAGATCAACATGAGTAAAGCCAAAGCAGTTTGTTCTCTATTTGCAGGTTATTTCAAGCTTAATTTGAAACAATATCCTACAAATGAGAATGAAAAAGAAGAAATATCCAAAGTCCCTTACTCATCTGCAGTAGGTAGTTTGATGTATGCTATGATTTGTAGTAGATTAGATATAACTCATGCAATTAGAGTTATTAGTCGATTTCTCTCTAATCCTGGTAAGG